GAAGAAAGTATTTTTGTGTTGAGGGAGTACTTGAGTGGAGGCCCAATGTCCTTCTGCTACCTTAATACTAAACCTATAAATGTAGGCTCATAAATCTCCCAGCACATTTTTAATGAAGTTTTTGTGGTAAAATTAAGTGCCTTGGCTGATATTTGGGTAGGCTTATACTCGAGCATATACGGTATCTGTAATTAGAAGAAAAAATGTTGAGACATTATCTCAGACCCTTTGACACATTATCAGGAGAAGCCAGTCCATGGAAAATGAAGTCGTACTTGGTAAAGCAGAGGCTTAGGGGAAAAAGGAAGACACTTACAGAAAGGGATTGATGCAGTGGCTGCTACAATGAGCTCAAACATCGCCAGTCTGCTGAGTTCCAGATCAGCCAGAGTTTTGTTCTGTTGTACATAAGGTCACTGTGAGGTGGGACCACCTGTACAGCTCCTAAGAATTCAAATGCATCATCCTTCTTTGACATTCCTTAATTACTTCCAGCTAGCACACATATATGGGGTACTTGAAAATTCCGTGACTTGGTTTACGTGGATCTTAGTCCTCAAAATGACATTTTTGCTCTTTAACACCTTAAAGACATCTTGTGCAGTAGATTTGCCAAGTAAAATGTTTGATTTCTATGAACATTGATTGTGGATGCAAATAAAATAAAACCCTTACTACCTTACATTTTCTCTCTATTTTATTACGATGTTAACCATTGGGTCAATTGAAGGGCATTTGCTGTTCGCACTGAGTTGTAATTCATCCTGAAGGCTGTAGTTTTTCATCTTCATCAGTAAGTGCTTCAAGCCGTCTTTGCTTGTAGCACAGAGCCACTCATCACTGCGTCTCCCTCCAATTCTGACGCCTTGTTCGTCTTCACTTAGTGCAGTTTCTCAAATGTGTTCAGTGTACAGATTGACTAATTACAGTGAAAAGATACAATCCTGTTTCACAGCTTTTGATATTCTAAAATGTGCATTATCCTCTTGTTCCATTCAAAGAACTCTTTCTTCGTTTTTATACAGGTTTTCCATAAGCACAATTAAGTGTTCTGGAATTCCAAGCCTTTGAAATGTTATTCATAATTTCTTCAGACTCAGTATAGTCGAATGCATTTGCATAATCAATACTACACAGAAAACATCTTTCTGGTATTTTTTGTTTTTACAAAGGCTCCATCTCACATAAGCAATGCTTTTTATCATTTCAAGTTTTTTCTGAATCATTTAAATGTCTCACATATCCTTGCAAATATACTGCTGTAAAAATTTTTCAATTATGTTCTGGGAGTTTTATTTTTGTGTTATATTAATGATACAGTTAGACCATTTCCAGATTCCATTTGATCACTTGCAGAATGGGGACAAATATTGACCAAGTGGATTGGGCAGGAGGCCGTCTCTCAAATGTCTTATTTTCCAGCAGCACATCTATTTGTTGAACTATTTCAGTTGGTATTCTTGGACCCTTCCTTTTTGCTAATCCCTTCGGTGTACCATGGGTTCTTCCTTCAGTCTATCACCTCTTGAACATATGCTAGTTCTGGGAAGGGTTGCATGCCAATTATTAATGAGTATAAATAATCAATTATTTTTGGTTCAGTGTCTATGTATTCCTTCACTCTGATTTTGGTAATTCCTGCATTATACATTACTTTGCCCAACGAATCCTTCAATAATATTGTGACTAGAGGCTTAAGGTTTTTCCTCAATTCTTTCAGTTTGTGAAATGTGGAGCATGTTTCCCCCTTTACTTTCCTTACTTTAAATCTTTGTATATTTCATGTGAACGTTTTCCTTTTCTTCTTGAGATGTGTCTTGAAATTTTCTGTTCAGCAATTTTAACTCATAATTTCTTCCATTAGCTTTAGCTATTTTACACTTAAGGACACACATCAGAGTCTCTTCTGATATATACTGATCTTTTCTTTCTTTCCTGTCGTTTTAATGACCTTTTACTTTCTTCATGTATGACGTTCTCATGTCATCTCACAGCCCTCTGTGCTTCTTTTATTAATATGTAACCATAGTTTTTCTTGATTATACCTGACTTCCTTCAATGGTCACACTTCAAACAATTCTTTTTTGGACAGTGACTCATCCTGTGATTCTTTTTGTGATACATCTTGTTCCACCCGATATTGTTGGTGGTGTTTTTAGTTCCAACTAATAACAACTCTAGGTACCATCACCCTGTGTACATCATCTTCACCACTGTTAGTTTGAGCTCACTGCTGTAGCCATGGTGTCAATCTATCTTGTTGAAGGACTGCCTCTTTTTCTCTGTCCCTCTACTTTACCAAGCATGAGATTCTTTTCCAAGGGATTTTCTCTCCTGATAACATGCCCCAAATGCTTGAATTGAAGTCTCCCTATTTTTGCTTCTAAAGAGCATTCTGGCTGTACTTCTTCAGGAAATATTTGTTGTTGTTTTGGAAGTCCATGGTACTTTAATTTTTTTGCCTGCACCATAATTCAGCCAGTCCAATGCATTCTTTGATCTGTTGATTGCTCTTTCCATGAGCATTGATTGTAGATCCAAGGAAGACAAAATCCTTTCTCCATTTATCATGTTATTACCTATTGATCCAAGTGTGAGGATTTTTCTTTTCTTTTTTTTTTTTTTTTGAGAACTTACTTTTATTCTTGCAGTCTTATACTAGGAATTCAACATTTAATAATCCGTTTTCCACAATTAACCCTTAAATTGTACATTGACATCCTTTAACTCCTTATCTTATTTACCACTCTCCTTCAAGTCTGAAGAAAATTATTAATTCATTAAGTTCCACAGACAGCACAGCCCCACTAAGATGACATTGAGCCTGAACTCCTACACTCACACCAGAATTTAGAATAGCTCATACCAAACTGGCCTGAAACCTGATTGTGTTCTTGGCTCAGGATATCTGTAGTAAATCTGTGATGTCACACTAAAACAAAAACATAAAGTAAGGGATGTATGTATTATAAAGTTTTTTCACAGTACAGTAAAAATTAACACAGAAAGTTTACCAAATTTTAACCATATTATGGTGTTTTAGCCAATTAAAAAATTTTAAATGCCTGATTAACTGTGACTCGATTGCAAATAACTTCATGTAGGATCTTTTTTTTCTTTTAAAGTTTGCCCAGAATTTCAAAATGTTTACAGAATTAATGTAACTTTTAAAACATCAAAATATGTTTGCTATACATATTGCACTTTCCTGCTAGACTGGGCTAGAATATTCCCTGGCAAGACACCAAAACTACTGAATAAAATATACTTTTAAATCAATAGGTACTTGATTATTTTCCCTGAAATCATCAACATCATTACCAAAATCTTCCAGGATTTTGTAAGATTTGATTCCTTAAATACAGCTTCAAAGTTAAGTTAAAGAGCGAGAAAAGCCCTCAGATGTTTGACTTTTATTGTCCTTGTTCTGGTCCTTCAGTGACCAGAGAATTTAAAACAAATTATGTTCACATTTCCTGACAATAAAAAGCTACAAATCCAAATTTTAGAATTACATTATTCAACTTAAAATAATTATACTAATCAAAGAGCTATAAATCTTGATATGTCTATGTCTGTCTATCTGCAGGTTCCTTAGAACCTTTCAAAATTTTTATAACTAAGAGGTTTTAATCAATGATGCAGTAAAATCAAACCAGGTAAGGAAAATTATTTTGCAAAAATAAAATCACTTGCCAAAGTGCTTGACAGAAACCAACTATTCATTTTCATTTGCATTCCATTGAAGACATTATTGAAATCTGTCCAATGGTTTATTTCCAAGTGGTCCACTATGAAAATCTTTGAAATGTTTTAAGAATGGCTGTAGCTAGAGTTCTGACTTCCATTTATACCCTGCTCTCCTTCGCTGTTTGGAGGTGGTTTTGGTTTGGGCATCTTACTAAGAATAGTTGCCATCTCTTTTCTCTCATCAAAATTCTTCCACTATTCATAGAGTTTTAAAATGACCCTGATTATTTCCAAAATCTTTTCCACGCCCACAGAAAGCTCAGCAAACCATTGCCTGGCATCTTTCTGCTGTACAACACAGGCTACATGCAGGCAAGCTAAAGCTATCATGAAAGGAGGATACAGCAGGCAAAGATCCGTTCGGTAGATATTATTCACTATCCTCCATGCAAGGGGAAGCAACATGTCTTCTTGGCCCATGTCCTGCACATACTGGAGCAAATGTCTATAAGGATGATATACTATCAAGCAACAATTCATTAGTTCTAAAAGATAAAATTCACATTCTAATACATGATTCATCCTATAAGGAAACTCCTTTGGAAAGGCATATGAAAATCTATTTTTTAATACAGAAGTAGCAGCAGCAATCAATCTTGTATTTGAGACTACTCCAAATTCCTCTACTTTGGATGCCAAAAACACACAAGTAGGAGCCATTAATATGGGATCTATACTTTTCAGAGAATACCTGGCATACAATCTCTTGAAATAGACTGTAGCAGTGGCAATAACTTGCTGTCTTAATTTAAGATGTTCACTTAATGCTTGGATAACATTTGTAAAAAATATTTGTAATTTCCAATACTCTTCTTCTGAGAGAAACTTTAAGTCCTTTTGGCGCTCCTTCAAAAGGTCTTGTTTATCCAAAATCCATTGCAAATAGTGGGAGCTCTGCCAAAAGTTCCCTGCCATGGAACACAGCTTGTCCTGATGAAAAAGCACCAGCCGGCGGAGTGACCATAGACCCAGCCCGCTCAGTACCAGAGCTCCGTGACTGCAACCAGCTCGACTCCGCTCCGCTTTATATTGAGTTGTAATTCATACTGAAGGCTGAAATCCTTGATCTTCATCAGCAAGTACTTCAGGTCAGGCTTACTCTCAGCCAGTATTATGCTCAATAGTATACAAGAATCTGATTGAGCTTTCTATATTAATCTTGTATCCTGCTACACTGCCAAATCTCTTATTTACCCCCAAATTTTATGTTGTGTCCTTAATAGGATAGCTGTTAGGTCTGGGAGACTCTGGGTCATGTGTGGGTGGTTGTCTCTAAAAAGCGGTTTTGGTTGTGGGGGCTGTTAAGTCACAAGGCGGAGGTTCAGAAGTTGGCCCGGAGGACCCGCCTCATCCACAAGGCTACAGAATTTCATGAAATCCATGATCACAGATCAAAACTCAGATCTCAAGAACTGGAAGCGAAGGAGAGGGAAGCCAAATCGACTCCAGATTCCAGATCCAGAAGTTTAAAATGTCAAAAGTCAAAGCAAGTCTTCTCACATCTCTATATTTGTTGTTGTTGTTTTTAATAATCATTTTATTAGGGGCTCATACAACTCATCACAATTCGTACATACGTCATCTGTGTCCAGCACTTTAGTACATATGTTGACTTTATCATTCTTATGACACCCACATTCCACTTGAGCCCCTGGTGTCAGCTCATTTTCCCCCTCCCTCCCCGCTCCCCCCGAACCCCCAATAATTTATAATTTATTATTATTTTATCATATCTAACCCCATCCCATGTCTCCCTCACCCACCTCCGCTTTCCTTCCCCCAGGGAGGAGGCCACATGTAGACCTTGTCCTCTGTTCCCCCTTTCTCCCTCTCCTTCCCTCCACTCTCCCGCCATTGCCAATCTCTCCACTGGTCCTGGGGGGTTCATCTGTCCTGGGTTCACTGTATTTCCAGTTCCTATCTGTGCCAGTACACTTCCTCTGGTCCAGCCGGATACGTAAGATAGAATTGGGATCATGGTAGTGGGGTGGAGGTTATTTGATTAACTTGACTAAGAGAGAGATTGATAAGTCATATAGTAACTGTGTGTTTAAAAGTTGAGAGAATGCCAGATTGTTCCATAGTGATTCAAAATTTTGCAATCCAACTAGCATTAGTTGAGGGTTCTAATTTTGCCACATTTTTTCCAGAACTTATTATTATTCAGCATTCTGCTTTTAGCTATTCTACTGCATGGGTGGCACACTGTCAAGTAGGAGTGGACTGCTGTCTACAAGGTCAGCGATCCAAACCCCTCAACTGCTTCATAGGAGAAAAGATGAGGCTCTTTATTTTTGCAAAGTGTTCCAGCTTTGGAAACCCTATATAGGGTCAGTATGAGGCAGAATAGCCTGGGCAGAGGAGGGGTTTGTGTGTGTGTGTGTGCTTATGAAATTTTATATGCAGAAAAGCGGGAAAGAGACAAAAATAAATTTTAAAAATACTCTGCAGCTCACTCTTTAACATAGAAAAACTAAAGAAAATGGGAGAAATGATGAAGCAAAGCTGAGAAAAAGATCTCCAATGGTAATTACAGAAGACAACATCAATATGAGAACGAGATGTGCAAAGAACTGGAGTTAGAAAAACAATAGGATAGAGCACACCAGACACTTCTCAACTCGAGGAACTGAAGAAAAAAACGCAAGCCTCAAGTTGCGATATTGAATTACACTACACAAGAACATCAACACAAAAAGGCGGGTGGGGGGAATATGCACGGTCACTGCACCAAAAGTCATGATTTGATATTCAGCTAATTCAGGAAGTAGCAAGAACTGATAGTATTGAAGCAAGAAGCTACACTGAAGACATGGAGAGAAAACATGGATGGGACACCATTTGAGATTTTTTAACAAATGGATACAATGCTGAACACACTCACTTATTTATGCCTAGTAATTTGGAAGAATATTTCATGGCTAATAACTGAAAGATATCTGTGTTAGTCCGGGTGAACTAGAGAAATAAATCCAGAGACGCTTATAAGTATAGGAAGGAGCTTTTATCAAAGAGCAATTGTACATCAAGAAACCATACTAGCCCCGTCCAGATCAAGTCCATAGGATTGATATTAATCCATATGTCGATACTAGTCCATAAATTCCTTTTTAGACTCACACAACACATGCAATAACATTGAGTACAGGAAGATCACAAACCAGTGGGGGGAAAGGCTTAGGAATCCAGTGGTATGGAAGCATCTTAGCACTGGTGTGGGTCCTCACATGGCTCCTCCAGCTCTAAGGCTCTGGCTGCCATAATCATAGCTCCATGTGGCTTGTCAACAGACATGTCTCACAGGGAGACAAGCAGAGAAAGGGTGTCCTGCCTCCAAGAAGGAAGACAGCAGATCCCAAGATACTCAGCAGAAGGTCATGCCCACAGAGAGGTATCATTGGCTGTGGCCTGATTCACAATCTGTCCTCCACCCCTTCACAAGTTGACAGATTATGTAACCATCACATGCCCATTCAAGAGAAAGGTGATTAAATACTATTCATAAATTACTTAGCAATATAATTAATGTCACATAGAAGTGCAATTTCACTGGGGATAACTTAAAAAGTGTACATGAGTATACCAGTAGACCAATGACAAAATTTGAGTTAAATAAGAAGATGCAGACTGAAGTTTATCATTGTTGATGTCTGATGGATTTAAATTTTCTTGGTATTGTCTTTTGAAACACACTTTTATTTTTGAAGAAGTACAGAGTATCTATTTTATTCTTTTGTCATTTGGTGGTTAAACGAGGGCTAAATTGAAGGTCATTAATATTCATCTTTTTTGCTCTTAAAAATTTCAAAATTGACAACAGTAAACAATGCTATTCCAATACCATTCTTTGCAATGGAGATTCAGCTTTCTCAGCATCATTTATTGAATATTCTTTTTGATCATATCATCTTGGTCCCTTGTCAAAAATTAATTGATCATAAATATGAAGGTTTATTTCTAGGTAGTTTAAAAAAAAATTATCCTTTTATTGGGAACTCTTACAGATATCATGCAAATATGAGAGTACTCTGATAGGTCTCAGGGTTTGACAGGCCACTAAATGCTGCCCATGGAGACCAGTAGAGACAAAGGGGCAGAGAGAAAAGCTAACCAGATTCTCCCTTATAAAAAGGCCACACTCCCAAGGAGGCATAATCAGTCTTTGACGTGATTGACAGATTAGCCTTTAATCCTACACTTTCATACAAATTCAAGTTGATAAAATCTAATTTTGAGGGGGAGGGCAGAGTGGAAACCCAAAGCCCATCTGTATACAATTGGACATCCCCTCATAGAGGATCATTAGGAAGAGACGGTCCAGCGAGGGTGCAGCATAGCACCAATGAAACGAACAACTTTCCTCTAATTCTTTAATGCTTCCTTCCCCTCTCCCACCTACTATCATGACACCAATTCTAATTTACAAATCTGGCTTGACCAGAGCATGTACATTGGTACAGATAAGAGCTCATAAAACAGGGAATCCAAGACATATATAAACCCCTCAGGACTAATAATGAGAGTAGCAATACCAGGAGGGTAAGGTAAAGTTGGGGGTAAAGGGGGAACCTATCACAATGATCTACATTTTAACACCCCACACTCTCCCAGGGAAATGAACAACAGAAAAGTGGGTCAATAGAAACAGTGGTCAGTATAAGACATAAAAAAATTCATAATTTATAAATTATCAAGGGTTCATGAAGGAGGTAGCTTGAGGAGGGAGGGGGGAAATGAGGAGCTGATATCAAGGGCTCAAGTAGAAAGAAAATGTTTGGAAAATGATGATGGCAACATATGTACAAATGTGCTCGACACAATCGATGTATATATATGGAGTGTGATAAGAGCTGTAAAAGCCCCTTAATAAAATGATTTTAAAAATCTAGTTACCTTAAAATCTATGAATATAGAATATGTATTTATATAAATCTTCTTTAATTTCTCTCTTTTATGTTTTGTAATTCCGAGAGCACACATTTTATACTCCTTTTATTAAAGTTGTTCCTAAACATTTGATTCTTTTTGAGGATTTTATGACTATTTCTTTGTTTCATTTTTCTTTTATTCATTCTTAATGTGTTAAAATAAAATTGAGTTTTCAATATTATCTGTCCTGTAGAATTCTCGGATTCACTTTCTATTTCAAAATGTGCTTATTAGATTTTGCATATTGTCTGCAATCGTCCTATCTGGACTTTTGCTTCCTTTTCCTTATTCCCTTATCTTGGCTATATAGAATGTGAACAGCAAGAGAAAATGCCACATTTTTGTTTTTTATTTTAGCAAAAAATCCTATCACCTTCAAGTATGAGGTTAAATTTGAGTACCCATATGCGACCTTTATAAAGTTGAGAATTCCCTTTCCTATTTCTAGGTTGTTAAAAAATCTTTATTACAGAAATATATTGGACTTCATAATTTTTTTCTTGAATTGATTGCTATGATCATAAGAATTTTGCTCATTTTATTAATATGATTGAATTTTAATAGTTGTTAGTAAAACCTTTGCCAGTTCAATAAACTCCACATATAAGTTCAGTGATATTAATTATGATCATGTTATATTAAACTAGCCATTTTATTTAAAAAATAGCAATTTGTAAAAAACATTTCTTAGCCATTCCTGATTTGTTCCTAAGATTTTTCAGATTCTCAGTGTTCACTAAGCATTGCTTCCTTCTTTTCTTTCCCCCTCCCTCTAGCTCTATACACATGCCTATTGGAGACATTTCATGTAAATCAGATTATAGAATATTTGTCATAAGTGATTGACTTCTTTCACTTAATATAATTGTTTCTAGGTTTATCTATGCTGTGTCATGCACGCCAATTTTATCTTAATGACTGAATAATAGTACATTGGGTGGATGCACCAAAATTTGTCTATTCATTTATCTACTGAGCAATTTACAATATTTCCATCTTTTGGTTTTTATAAATAGAACTATAATGCACAGTATTGGGCAAGTACCTTCTTGGATGTTCTTGCTTTTAGTTCTTTGGGTATGTACCTA